GAAGTGGCCGCAGTACAAGGGACTTAGTTCCACCCCACTAGCAATAAAAAAACTCTGTAAAAAGAAATTTCACTTTCACAAAATCCCGTTAGCCCTCTTGGGTGACTCTGGAAACTCCTGGGATCAAATCCATCAACATTTCAGCAAATCAAAATCAAACCCAAAATTTGTAATTTCAATAAACTTAAAGTACATATACATCAGTAAATGTATTTAATTATTTACTTATTTGTTTGTATATATGTATGTGCGTGTACATATAAACACACCCACATACACACGCATTACATGTCGGACTACTAACAGTCACGTGTAGGGTGGTACGTGTGACGAAAATGACGGGTTACAGTCCCGATGATTGGATTTATTAACAACCTCCTCTACAAACACACCTTAAGTACAGGCTATCGCTGACTTACACAATTTCCAGTTCGCCGTTGCACACGCACTAGGATTCTCACTTCCCACTAGTCGACTCCTAGCAACAGATCTTAAAACAGAAACTAGCACTTCAAATCACTATAAGTCTTTTTACCTTCAATACTTTGTACTCTTCTGTCCTAATCTGTACTCAACTAATCTCCACAATTCACTAAAGACATGCTCCATTCTCGTCCCTTGAACTCTCAAGTGCTCTAGTTTGTGAATTCACTTCTCTTATAAGCACTTTGCACAAACCCATTGGAAAACAGTCTGTATTGTTGATGACGTCACCGCGTTCATAGCAGGGTCCAATACGCGGAAATTTGTTTGCCGAGCCGTTGCCTAGAAGTGGATTGCATAACCCCGTTCTATTGTTGCGTGCGTGTATCGCGGATTGTATATCGAGCCGTTGCCTGGCAATGCGTTGATCAAATCCGTTACATTGCGCCATATTCCCTCTTTAAGGCTGCTAGTCCCGAGTAGGCTATCGGTGTGTCACAGTTCCCATTTTTTTAGAGTCCTACTCCTGCCGTCTTCTTGTGGCTCGGTCTTTCCCCTGCGGTGATTAACTCTCCATCCTTTACCACTCTCCCTCTCTGATGTCAGATCGTCCCGAGCGGATCACTGCTAAGGTGCCTGTAGATCCAAAAGTATCACCATCATCCAAAGTCTTTTTTTTCTTTTTCTTTTTTTCAATCGGCAGCAGTGGAATTGTCTAGAGTGGTCGCTGCTCCCACATTTCCGACTCTTCTTATACTAACGGTGCTAGCAGGTTCTTCTTCCGTTTCGGATGAATCCGAATCCTCCACAACGTTTTCTTCCTAATCTCCCGCTCCAGAGGGAGCCGAACCCTCCACATGGTCCTGCTCTTCATTTTCCGCATCCTGATGGAAGTCTCGAGCATCTGTTTCGCAATTTTCAATCCGGAAATACCATTTAAGGTTTTCTTGAGTGTTCCTCTGCTTCCCAGGTATGATCGCTGTCCTGAGCTTCACCCTGATGCCGTTCACGGTTGTCCATCCCTTTCACAAATATAGTCTGTTTGCCACTTAGATCCGTTATTACTACCTGAGCGTCCTTCCCTTCAAGGTTCCTCGTACCACGTTGTCCCTGGTCCGGTTTTTTCCTGACGACGTTTCCCTTGAGCCATGCCAGTCACTGCGTGGCGGGTCGTCCTCATTCCGACGGTGCCCAATTGCTTCAGGGATCCGCAATTTCCCCAGGTTATCTCCTTTGACTTCTGGCGGCGTTCTTCGGCAAGATTTCGGGCCCTAAGCCGCTTCCTCAGTCCTCCGACAGGTTTCACTGCGGCCTGTTCCCTAGGGGACTTTTCATGCTCCGCCTCAGACTCTTATTTCTTCTGGATTTGCCGCCATCAATTTTTTCTCTGTTGGCTATTCTGTCGTCCTTCCTTCTCAGTCGGCTTTAAATATATAGCGATTATTCTTTACATTATCTGTTGCGTCTCCATAATGTAGCGATATGACTACATGATGCAATCTTGAGTCCGATAATTCGATCACTCTGATCCAATCCGTACCACTTCTAACATCAGTGTCACTGCTGATGAATCCAATATGATCCGAAGCGCCAATTCCTGACATCAAAATGTCATGTGCAGGGTGATACGCGTGACGAAAAAAAAGGGTTCTAGTTCGGATTATTGGATTTATTAACACCTTCCTTTTTTAAACACTCTTAAGTATAAGTAATACAGCGCTATCGCTGATTTATACAATTTCCAGATCACCGTTGCATACGCACTAGGATTCTACTTTCCACTAGTCACTAAATACAAAGTCCTCTTGTCTTCAATCACTTTGTACTCCTCTGTCCTAATCTGTACTCAATTAATCTTCACAATTCACTAAGGACATGCTCCATTCTCGTCCTTGAACTCTCAAGTGCTCCTGGTTTCAAAGCCAAAGTCACACTGCGACTGACGGTCAATCAGTCATTCAGCCTCGGTGTCGAGCTCCATGACCGGAGTCTCATTTTACGACCGACGGTCAGTCGGCCAGTCTTGGCATAAAGCACCCATCTGGGGCTTGCGACCAGATCTTTATTACTGTTTGACAGTTACGGTCTTAATTTTTGTGGGCGCCCTCTCTGATGAGAGGACGGGTCTGTCTTTTGTATATGCTGCTGGTATAAAGCGGTGTGTTTATCGAGCCGTTGCCTGGCAATGCGTTGATCAAATCCCTTTCAATATTAACGATATGAATTTCAGGGATATTATTATTTCAGTTAGCTATGATTCTACGTCCATAAAAGAGCAAGTTTATTCAGTGCGTCACTGATAACGGGAATAAAACACACCGAGGGAACGTTCAAAAATTACTTTCTCTGTTGTCTGCAGTACAACGCATGCAGTAACAGGAGCAAAACACAACACAGAACACGATACACAAATGTATGTAGGAAGAATGCTCACATAAAAGAGGATTGGCGTAATTCGCGTGTTTGAGTGCGACGTAGGATGAATCCTGAAAAGTTTTATTATTTAGAATTCATCGACATATATGACGAATACAGATTTTAGTCATTTTAGGATAAAGAGATCATGGCATGCAGTATAATAGTTTAACGTGCATAAAGACACCTGAGGATGGCACATTAGTGCTGAAACATGTAGTGTGGAAAAGTGTATACACTGTAAGACGGCTGGCATAAAGCATGAACACACTCTTAACCTCAAAAATACTGAAAGAACTTCACAATTATCCAACACATTCAGGCCAAGAAGATACTATAGGGTTCTGACGATGGTGTATAACACACAGAGATAACGCAACGGCTCGGTGAACACGGTCCCGTTCCTAGGCAGCAGATTCTTAATAATGCAACAGCTTGACTATAACAATGTACGAACAGTTTTTACGTGGCCCGTGCTGATGTTATAAGCATGGGACAAGGTTAGACCTTAGTTAAGTTCACAGTCAGTTCTGTACGGGAGTCTGTAAAGAGAGGACTTGAGCCAGAGGCAGGGGAATAGCCACTGTTAGAGCCGTTACCAAGAAACGTCTAACAGAAGCTTGATAACACTACACACTACGTTCTAGTGAAATGTAAAGTGCGGAAATAGCAACAGTGTTATAATCATTTGTAGTTACAACCTGTAAGTGGTCAATGAATCTACTCACCAATCCAAACCCTGTCTATAGTCACACCTACAAGTGAAAATATTCATGCTCTCCCATTTTAAACCATCAAAATTACAATCTTTAAAACTACGCATTCAAATTTAATGTGGTCTCACAATCACGTGGCACATCTTACATCATGCAATGGTCCAAATTAAGTCATTACAATTACAATTAGTGCAGTGAACATTCCTTTACAGAAACCTTGGACTCTTTGATATTTGTGTAGGAAGTAGAAATTTCTACTCAGTCCTTATATCATATAGCCGGACTGAACTACAAAGATATGCCTGAGGAAAGACAAAAATCACATCTGGTTAGCCTGGCCTAACCAGAATCCGACTAGGTACCCCAGTATAAACACAATTAGTTATTTTAATCACTGACAGCAAACCTTCGAGATGGTAACTCCAACATTCATACACCTAAAAATAAGACGGGCTACAACTTAAAAAAAAAATTATAGTGTAATACTGTCATATCTACATAGCTCCAGCCTTCAGCCACTGTACCGGTACACACATTTACATCGACAATACACAACTTCAGACGATGTTTTGCCAGATTTGGGTTTTTCAGCTGTGGACCTATTATTTTAAGTGCCACCTGCTTTGTATGGGCAGCATATCTATGTTGGCAGTGTCATACCAGCAAACCTGAAATATTTATTAAACTATCAACTATGCCTCGTTGTAGTGAAAGATGAATTAAAATACTGCGAGTTCCTGTATTCATGTGAATTTTGAAATTCAAATACACAACGTTAAATGAATAGTAGAAGTGAACTGCCAAGTTAATTTAAAATTGCATACGTAAACTCCACATCTTTTATATGGATATTTGATGACTATGAAACTAGAGAAAGGTTGCATATGGCAGAATTGGACTGAAATTGGATGAAACTACTAAAAACAGACACTATCATTTATTATTTTTTTTCATTTTAAAATCTGGAATACTTAAGTTGCCCTGAAAAGCTTCAATGTGACAACAGTATACTCTTTGTAAATATGGTCTGCTACATCTGAGAAAAGAATGCGAAGCAAAGTCATGTAAAGAAGATTAAATAACTAGGGCTATCACAATTAACTGACTAATTGATGAGATTAAGCAGTTAATTTTATCACCAGTTATTTATATTAGAACAACCTATTACTGTCTCAATAATTATCCTGCCAAAGTACATTCATACTACCTGACTACACTGCCAATTAAACAATCAATTGATCTATTAATGGAAAAATGGTTAACCAACTGAACATGACGCTCCGCACACATGAAGTAATCATCAGGTATGGGAGAACAATGCTGCGATATTACGATTTTCTAAATGTTCATTATAGCACCTCAATCGTTGCCAGTGCCCGTCAAATTACTTTACTATCTTAATTGCAACTATTAATGTTGAATACAGTAAACGTTTGGCGCACTCACCCCGGCGGTACGCCCTGTCGGTATCCAGTCCCTGTAAATGGAGTGCCCTGCTTGTTTGGAGCTCCTTGTTGAGCGTAACCCCCGCCACCTGGCCCGACGCCCCCTGCCGCCACGGTGCCACCGCTAACCGGGAAGTTGTTGTGGGGACCGGACTGCGTCGAGGTAGTCACTCCCCACACGGTGGTCACCACAGACAGCTGTTGCTGTGTGGCGCCCGCCGGCGACCACTCCCTGAAACACGACACACTGTTGCGATTGCTCCGACAGCTGTGCTCATGCTTGGTTGCTACCCCTGGCGAACGATGTATGAAACACAACCCAGTTCAATGTATTAAGTACCGCCAACAGATAGCGCCACCATCTTCTCTACGACGCACCTGTTGTTCTTCCAACCATGCCGACAAAAACATATCCTTCGATTGACACCAACGGGATCATTTAAATATTTTAAGCCTTACGATTCTCATTTCCGTTTGTTGGTTTGCATTTTGTATCTTTAGATCATATATTTGGCGGAGGAATTTACGATTTCAAGTCGTCCTCAACCTAGAATGGCATGAAAATAACTCTGATCAACAGAACTTCCATTATCAAAGAAATGATTTTTAATGGAAAGATTAATATTTGATATATATTAGTAAGACAATCAACTGAATCTACAGAGTAAAATATCTGTTTCGACTGTTGCTTCAAACCACTTTTCAGTTTAAAACCCTACATATTATTATGATTTCCCACAAACAGGCTATATCTATACAATCCACTCAACATGGGGTTGTTACTTGTTAAAAAATAATTATTAATGAGCTACATGTCGAAATATCAGACCCGACGTTCTTTTTTTTTAATTATACGAAGTAGTACCACAGGAAATGCACCTTGGCCTTATCAGAGGAGTCTTCCAGAAAGAATATATGCCCTTTTTTTAGTTCCCCTAAACACGCGAATGGCAGGCATGGCCTAACACAGATGGAGGTGCCAACATTTTAAATTACAAACATATCTTCATAAAAATAAGAGATCATATAGATTTCTGACCAAAGAACACACAACTCTGACACTGTTTTCTAACCCTCACTTCATTGGTGTCCACATGCTACTGTTAAAAGCATTTTTTTATTATTTTTTGTTCTGTTTCTAAAATTTCCGAGTTCTATATTTCTCGCATTTATATCTTAACATCATGAAACCTCGCAATCTATAAACTGGAGTGAGAATACGGGCACGGCCAGTAACTTACTACTTGTTAACTCCACATAGTCAGCCACCACAAGGTAAACACTTCAGCAGAATATGAGAACTTCTGCATTCATTTTTCGAGGTTAACATTTTAAGTTTACTGGGCACTAAACACTAACACTGGACTTTTCTTTTTTCATACATAAATTTTCGCCACGGATATTTCCAAGTCACTGACGTTCATATTACATTCTCCTAACCAGTAGGCAATGACAAACGGTGACGTATTTGTGCAATGAAAATCGCTGTAACGATAGGGAGGTCAAACCATGTTTGGGTGATAAGATTACTGCAGGAGGTACGGTTCTTGTAAACCAGTACATTTGTGCTGTAAAATACGCACACACTTGTAACGTCATGATCGATGGATGTTCTTACAGTGAACCATACTAATTTTTGTTTGCCAGCGTAACTGTTCAATTGTCGTCATTCATTCGCAAACACGTCACACTAAGGTCCGCCTTCCGCACCTCATGCGCAAGTATTCTGTAGTCATATGGCACCTCACACACTGAGACAAAATTAATCACACTATCACCACCCTGCGACATAAATCACTGCCAATTTTATTTTCACGTGATATCAGTTCACAACACTAAACGGGTTGGAACAGTTTGGCCCTAGCTTTGCAGCACACATATACGTTTAAACTGCACAGTCTTGTTGATACATCCGAAATGTGTCACTTGCGTAAACGTTGCACGTCTCTCACTCTTCTCAAAACATTTATTCTCTGCTATCTACCTACGTTACCTTCTGTTCTATTTGTATGCTTCAGACGTCCGCTTTTTCGCACTGCTCTAAATGTTATGCTTACTGCTTCACTTATTTTTTGCCCGTACAAGGATGCCGAGATATCCATTATTAGCAGACGGAACTATACGGGTCCTGAATGGTGTCGGCCTCTGGCGCTTGCTACACAAAATACACACCACATTACGTCATTATTACACACACACAGCCTTCCAGCAGTATCTAATACTAATAACTCCCGATAAACGACACGCATTTCAATGAACAGTGGCGATCTCTCTTATCGTTCTCATCGTACCTACATTCAGTCAGTAAGGAAACTTGCCCACAATCCCAAACGGATAATTAAATTCACCAATGCTACATATTTTATGATTAATTAGTCTTCATGGTAAAAATTATTTGTTTTGTAACAATGCAACCATGATATGGACATTATTGATTTAATCCCGTAGCAGCCTGCAGGCATATCTGCGACTCCTCGAGTGCATCTCAATGTTGACCTAAATCCCAGCATGTATTTATAGGGATTTGACACGACCCAATGCTAGGTCGATCTAGGTCGTGCATGGAAACTGGGTTATGTTCTGAGTGCACTGGCTGAGATTTTCCTTGCTCTAATGTAGTCATGGGCCGGTCACGGTAGCTGAGCGGTCTAAGGCATGCACTGTCTTCGCTCGCTCGGAAGCCGGGATAGTGGGTTCGAATCCCACTCCGGGCATGGATGTTTCTGTGCGTTTTTCTGTGTTTGTGTACAGGTAGACGGCCTTGCGACGAGCTGATCACCCGCCCAAGGAGTCCTACCGTATGTCTAAGATCTAGAAAAACCAAAGTGAAGTTCATGAAGGTAGGCCTAGGCCCACTGGGGCTGTAGTGCCGGGGGGGGGAGCTTTCAACGTTTTCAAGACCAAGAAATGCTATTCTCAGCTTTTCATTCCACACCCGCGTACCCTTACACAACTTCTGAAAATGAACTGTAACCTAACGGTTAAATGTGCACACGGCGCGTTCGCTGAGGGATGAATTGCTGTTGTATGCATTTTACAAATCGTCACAGTAAATGCTACAAACGAATGGCACGCTATTATATGAGCCTGGTAGGGGAATCTAATCATTGCTCATTTCCTGTGATGTGATAACACTTTCAACAAATCTCTCTTTGTGATTACTAACACTTTATACAGTCAAGCACAATCGCATGAAATAAAATTCTAACTTCGGTTGTTTTGAAAGATATGAAAATTACATTTGCATGTCTTATTGTTCCAAAATAAAATAGGGCAATGTATTTTGTAACACAAACATGAATAGTGACCTAATACGTACCCTGCTCAACATAATAATCAATTTTGTAACACAAACATAAACAGTGACCTAACACGTACCCTGCTGAACATAATAATCAATCCAAATTCCCCAACCAAGATTTAACTTCCCTTTATAGACTGCCTTCCTGAGCAATTCACAGACTATCCTATTGAAATTCTAAAATATGTCACAAGTTTCCTACTCAACCGTTTAGTGAACCATTTTAGATTTATGACGATTTAAATATTTATAATATACAAAACTTCCCTTGTACAATTTACTGAAACAATAATTTTAACTCTTCCTACCGTACATCACGTACAAGCATAATCATTCTATGGGCCCGGAAAGGGGGGGGGGGGTCGCATCGATAAATAATCCGCTTGGTCACTGAATAAATAATGGGAACCAACTGGTTAGGTCAGTTACTAATAAGTGGCGGCCCCTAGTGGCCACGCTCCAAAACAAACACGTCTTCTATGCCTTCAAGCATGTAGAAGCCCACAGACACTTGGGAACGTTTGAATAGAAAGGTGTACCTCTTAAAATTCAGTAAAACCGATCACACACGCCGACGATATATTCCCTATAATATGGCATACACACACTTTCAAAATCGCTTTAACATTAGTAGCATCCACTATGTAATGTCGACTATATTATGTTCGATGATAATATAACTCGTTGCACTAGTGGTATCCTAGCTTATATCACTTCACAATATGTTGCTCCTGGTTACACCTCGAACCATCAGTATACACTCACAAATAACAATTTTAATGCCAATCACCAATAAAGGCAACTACCTGTAGGATGTGTAGCCCAACATTGGAACAGATACATATGTTTGGTGCTTGGAAACGCGCGAGGCCAGTAATGTGCGTAACTATTGCACCTACTTCACTTTTCCACTTATACACATATAAATATATATGTTACTTGAGAACAACCACAAACCCGTGCGTCCGCTATACGACCAAAGGTAAAACTGTCTGACTGACTCTGCTTGCTGCTGCTGGTGAGAGGTTGTTGAAGCCACGAAGGGGAAGGGAAAGTGGGGATATGATCGTCTATGGAAGGGATGGAGGAGGATTGCACCGGTCTGACCCGGTCTTCCCCTCTCATGCATTCCTTTTCGCCCTTCGGACAGCCACAATATCGGTTATAGCTGCACAGCGTTGCCACATCGTGCGCAGAGCCAATCCCGTGAAGCAGTGTGGGTGGAGCTTTGGGTCTTCCCTCTAACCCCGCTGCTCTGCTAGGGTTCGGGGTTCACGCATGTTCACGGCGGGTATCACAGTGCGGACAGCGGACGGAAATGACCGACCGCGAATGACACATAGCTTTTCGTTTGCATTTCCCAATCACACCCTCATGTCAAGTCTTTTCTCCCCACCCCAAATTTTGAAACCTTTCTCCTGTAGAAATAAGTAATACGAACCGAAAAACTATTATTCGTTCTACTTCAATATATTGACATTTGCAAACCATATTAATGTTTCACACGTTGGCACTGTTACGTGTTCGCATATTTCGTAGTATCCACCATCTTGCTATGGTTCATCAGCATTCCACAAAACAATGTTTATCTCAACAGCGTATTTATTACATTAACACCTTCTCGCTGCTTCAATCTGCCCAGAGCATTGATTATTTGTGCGTTGTCCAATGCTGCCAAGTTAACACAATGTCGGCGCGTCACGGGTGCGCAGTAGCAAGCGGTCTGTCTGCTAGTGCCATGCCAATACGCGGATGTCACGCGCAACACCCTTTTTTATGTGTGTGGAGTGTACATTAAACGGCTTCTCTCAGTCAGCCGTCTGGCTCGTGCGCGTCGCGCCTGTGCGCCTCCGCTCCTCAGCTTGTGATTCTTCTTCCTCTTCTCTGATTTGTCGCTTTTCTACTTCATAGCATTGGCAAACGCGGAGGTTTTAAAACATCGGTCCGCAGGTCACATGCGACTAACTTACTCCGAAAAGAATGTGTTGTCGAGACTACATAGGATTGAATAGCGCTTTCTGTCTAGGCTTAAACTCCATGCTAGACATCTAAAATAATGTTCGTAGTCCCTGGCGTCTACTTTCGGTATACCTGGCCATTTTTCGTTCATTTTGCAGCCTTTATTCGTACCATTTGGCTGGGTTCATCTCCTGTCTGATGAATGAGACCAAAGGTCACTCTAACAAATAATGTCCAAATGAAAGTTTCAAATTTCTGCTTTTCTGGTCGCAATTTTAACTGTAGGCATATAGTAAATATCAACATATATGTATGCAGGAGTGGTCTCAGTATGGTATAAATATTACAACCAACAGCAAGGGATACTGGAGGACAACGAAGACGGGTGAGATGGAATGTCAAGAAAATGAGTCCAAATTCTAAGTTGCATCCTACCATGTGATGATTATCTCGGATTCAAATTAAATTCGTTTTAATCCTTTGTTTACTGAATCTTTGTTGTGGGCCGACTAATTTTCCTCAATTTCAACCGCTAGTAAAATAACGAAAGCTTCAAAATTTCGACCGATAAAAAAATAAAAGAGATTTGAACTATCCGTCAAGATGGTTCGCCTTAGAAGTGTTTATTAATTCGGGTGCAGTTATAACAAGTATTGAAATATTTATGTAGGCTCTACTAAATCTGTATGTCCATTCTCTCTAACAGCCCTCACTGTCTTGACTCTGTCGATAACTGCTTCCCGAAAGCAAATCTAATCGGATCTATGTCCAGCCAAACGCTGAATTATTCGGAGAATAAAAGTGGGCTTATGCATATCTCATTGTCGAAGAGTGATTTTGTGGTCACATTTCTTCACTTATAGAACATACGAGTACTTCCAGCATGCCTATTTTGAGGGGGTTTAGAGTTTCATGAATTTCTATATTAATACTTTGAGACCCTCAAAGGGGGCCCCCTGCAGGATTCATCTTAGATCCAGCACTTGAAAAACAGCGTTCCAGTCAATCGTTTTAAATTCACTGTTTAAGAACGCATAAAATTTAAATTTGATCTGGTTGGATATCGTACTAAAAACAATATGTACCCTGATCAGCTAATTAATGACTGGGTTGAAAAAGGACAAAAAACCAAACTGCCAGGGTAAAGGCAGGACTACTACTCTCCAAATTTAGAAAATCTATTTCATTTTAAGTCCTTCTCGATTCAGATCGGTAGTGTGAACAGAGTTTAATTTTGGAGTATTTAAAAATTATTATTATTATTATTATTATTATTATTATTATTATTGTCATTTATTATGTTTCTACAGCCCTTTCTTGCGCCTTGGCCGCTTTTTCAGTTTNGATAAAAAAATAAAAGAGATTTGAACTATCCGTCAAGATGGTTCGCCTTAGAAGTGTTTATTAATTCGGGTGCAGTTATAACAAGTATTGAAATATTTATGTAGGCTCTACTAAATCTGTATGTCCATTCTCTCTAACAGCCCTCACTGTCTTGACTCTGTCGATAACTGCTTCCCGAAAGCAAATCTAATCGGATCTATGTCCAGCCAAACGCTGAATTATTCGGAGAATAAAAGTGGGCTTATGCATATCTCATTGTCGAAGAGTGATTTTGTGGTCACATTTCTTCACTTATAGAACATACGAGTACTTCCAGCATGCCTATTTTGAGGGGGTTTAGAGTTTCATAAAATTCTATATTAATACTTTGAGACCCTCAAAGGGGGCCCCCTGCAGGATTCATCTTAGATCCAGCACTTGAAAAACAGCGTTCCAGTCAATCGTTTTAAATTCACTGTTTAAGAACGCATAAAATTTAAATTTGATCTGGTTGGATATCGTACTAAAAACAATATGTACCCTGATCAGCTAATTAATGACTGGGTTGAAAAAGGACAAAAAACCAAACTGCCAGGGTAAAGGCAGGACTACTACTCTCCAAATTTAGAAAATCTATTTCATTTTAAGTCCTTCTCGATTCAGATCGGTAGTGTGAACAGAGTTTAATTTTGGAGTATTTAAAAATTGTTATTATTATTATTATTATTATTGTCATTTATTATGTCTCTGCAGCCCTTTCTTGCGCCTTGGCCGCTTTTTCAGTTTCTTGATCCAATACACAGGCGGTAGGACTCCTTGGACGGGGGATCAGCCCGTCGCAAGGCCACTACCTACACACAGAACAACACAAACAGAATAAATGCACACAATACAGACATCCATGCCTCGAGTGGGATTCGAACCCACGATCCCAGCGGTCGAGCGAGCGAAGGCAGTTCATGTCTTAGACCGCGCGGCCACTGTGATCGGCTGTTAAAAATAATAGCACAATAAATAAATAATAATAATAATAATAATAACCGAATAATTTATGCAAATTAAGACATCGCTACAGGCTACTTCAGGCAGAAATACGCCTATTTGTTCTGTGATTCTAAAATGTTACTTTCCTAACGAAACTATGTAAGAAATGTATTTGTCCCCCGCCACCGTCATTCCAGTCCATAGAAGTTTCAGTAAAAAGAAGGTGATGTAGGTTGAAAGGTTGAGTAGTCATTGATGCAATGAACCTCGATCTAAATACGACCATAGTTCTTAGGTAACCATAAAAGAGCCCAGTTTCTTGTAATTCATGACAGTGATTTTGAATAACATTCTTTTTGAACTTTATATTCGTACACATAAGAAAGATTGGTGTATAATTTCCAATTACTCCCTGCAAACAGCTTCATATGCTCGGCGTTAGGAATTAGACAAATGTCCTTGATTTTAAACATGTAGCAATTATTTATAAGACAAGAATACCATCTTGAGTAATCCGTAACTGTTCAAGTCCATTCGACTTGCACGTCTGGCTGAGATTCCATCCTGATGATAAGCCTGTATAAAACAGAGTGTTGCGGGCTAGCCTCGTACGCAGGGGTTCCACAGAACAACTTCCAAGGTTGGCTTCGAACGTCGTTACAAGTAGCAATAGTTATTTTTAGAGCAACAAACAGTTTCAGTAAAGATTTTCGCGGAATTTAATCACTCCGGCCGACATTATGTTACTGTGGTGAACCACTCCCTGGTTTTGGAAGGTATTCTGGATCCGCTAAGCTAGTAATTCAGGCCAGCAAGTGAAGAAAATTCAAAAATAGGCCACGACAACGCTCCTCGCCCATAAAACTCCCTTCATTCAGCTTTTGTAACTGACATACACTAAATACGCAATACCTTTCATAACTGAAAGAGAACTTAAAAATGTAGGTACGTTCGTACCTGGACCTATGATTTCCCGACTTACGATTCCATTAAATTAACACCAATCAGGCTTATGTTCCGAATTTTTGGGCTTACAACCCGAAAGCAGCGTTTCGGAGTTACATGCTGCAAAGCTCTCATGACTAGATTCCATCTATTACCAGTCCATGGTAAGACCTAATTAACTTGTGACATGTAGGTCCGTTGCTAGGCAACAACGGCGAAATACATGTTTCCACGGCAGCAAGAGAATACGCAAATAATGGAAGCAGTGTTTACTACGTGGTCCGTGCCGAGATCTTATAAGCGGGGCAGTTAGCAAGACGCAGCCTATTCATAAGAGACAAAAGCGTCCTATAGTCCGAAAAGATGTTACATAAGGACTATGACCGCGAGGGTTCAGTTGCAAAGAAAATCTCTGGTCGTGGTCCTTTAGGGGCTTGGCGCCAAGACGAACTGATTGGCGGTGACTCAAACTCTGACTCTGTTGCAGTTAGTGAGGAGTGAGTGAGTCAGTGAGTTAGTTAGAGGACTGCTCCCCTTCTGTAGTTGTGACCTGTTGCTGTTAGAAGCTGTTAGCCTAGGAACGGGGACAGTTCGGGAACCCAGAGTAAGGGGAACGTCCTCCGTTGGAAGCCACTACTAAGCGACGGCAATGAAAACGTGGTTGTGGCCACTAGTCTGTCTGTGTGTGTGTGTGTGTGTGCGTGTGTGTGCGCGCGCGCACGGGCGTAATAGTGACCTATACAGTGTAGTCACGCGCTGTATCAA